GTTGGTTCAGCAGCATCAAGCAAGCTCCTACCAGAGGGTGCCTATCACCTGTTCTGGTGATAAACTTCAGAATACGTCTGGCAGTATTTGACTCTTCCCCCACCCCCCCCACCCCCTTTTTTTTTTTGATACCCAATCTCAGCTATTTTCTTTGTTCCTGTACATAAGATGCACTCAACTGTTAATTTCAAGTATGATTTTTAATTTTTATGGTGTGGGATAGCCAGTGGAATGGTCAGCACCTGAAAGTCAGATTCTTTCATGACTTTTCAAACTGGTCAGGTAGAGTGACTTCAAAACCTTGCAACAATCTTCTGTGTACATATAATCCACCCAGAATACTGCCACAAAACCACACTTTGTCTTAGGGAGGGGTGGGGGGAGTTCTGCTTTATCTTTCTGGCTGCATTTGTATAAAGTACTTTCTTGATCTGGCTCATTTTGAAAGAGTTTGTGCATCACTGAAGGAAACTGATAAAATGTGCAAGACTTTTAAGCCATAGCTCTTGTTTACTACCAAGTCTTGAATTAAATAACTGAAGAAAACATGAATATCAGAAAGTGACTTAGCCTTGACAAAAAAAACTTTGGATCAGAGCTTCTGGACAGATGCATTCTACTGACACTGTTGATTTCAATTCCAGGCTGATAAGCGAAGGGAAGGGTAATGTTGGAAGAGGTATTAACATTGCCATTGTGAATTGTAAGTAAAAGAAAAAATGTTAGAGAAAGACATACTTTTGTACTGCAATAATTTACAAGGGTTCTTGGGGGGAATGTTAGGTATTTTTGTTTGGTTTTGGGGGGTTTTGGGGTTGTTTTGGAGTTGTTGGGGTTTTTTTTACTAGCTAGTGTGGAAGAAGAGGGAAAGGAAAAAATTGTAAACTTGATTCATGTTAAATGTAAGAAAAGCAATCTGTGTTTGAGAGAAATAGTCTTCTGGATAAACAAAAGAAATGTGCTCATAATCGGTGTAAGAAAATAGAAAATGTGTACACAGAAACATTATATGTATATTTTATTAGATAAAGGAACTCTTTTCTATGTAAAATAGCAAAAATACCCGTGATCTCCAGCAGGAGATCTGAACTTTCAGGTTCATTCCTTGGTAAGTGATATCTACTGCTCCACTGATAAGCGGCCAGCAGTAACTGAGAATTGCAGTTCTGCCCCAAGGTACAACCAAGGTACAAATTCCTTTTCCTGACTCGGTCAGTGGACAGAAAGACAAACTCAAAGCTTGATTAACATTAAACTGCCATTACATGTCTTTGCTTCTAGTAGGAGCTGTTGGAAAGCAGAAGGTGCCGTTTATTCCAGATCTGCAGGCACCATTCTGATTTAGATGAATGGTGATGAAGTGCCGTGTATTCAGTAATGAATCCCGAGAGAAATGGATGCCTAAATGTTGTGGGGGAAGAGAACAAAGGGAGTTCAGATGCAGTCACGTTGGCTTTGATCACAAAACACTGATGTTCCAGGTTTTGTCTCAGTATTGCTAAAGCAAGATCTTGACCTTGTCTAAAATTGCATGATTTTATTGAAGTCACTGGGTTAAATTACCATAGATGAGAACCTGTTCCAAATATTTTTCCAGTTGACTGCTGCTTTTTATTTTTGTTTTGGTTGAGGTTTGGTTTGGTTGTTTGAGTTTTTTTTTCCCAATAAGGAATCATAAAATCTTTACTGGTTATAACAGTAAACAGTTAAAATGAGTTTTCAGCATAGGCCTGTAGAGTAAGGGGGCAAATACTCATCTCAAATGCATAAGCAAGGTTATAACAAACAGGATTAAGAAACCAGCATTGTCTTTTCATCTGACATTAGTGAGGAAAAAGAAGTGATATACCATATTTTGCACATTTTTAGACAGCCATTCTTCATCACACATCCATTCATTTTAGCTACACTTTCATCTCCCTCTGCAGGTAAATCTGTCCGTTATCTCAAGCCAATTTGTAGTGAGACATACTGTCTAGTGTCCTCTAATTAGATCAATCAAGCTAATGACTGTGCCCAATAAGTTTCCTGTGACGTCCCACTTGTATTTTATTCTATAATGATAACTCTTTCTTCTCTGAATGAATGTGTTCTTTGGTAAGAAGGAAGACAATTCTGTGAAGCCCAAGGTAGGAGCACAGAGGGAGAGAGAAAGAATTTTGTGGATTTCTGTGGTCTTCACTATAGCCTTTGTGCTCAGAAGAAGCCCGGTTCTAGAATACTGTTTTACCACTGGCAGACTTTTGCCACCTTTTCCCCTCATCAGTGTGATAAACCTGCCATTTAGAATCCTATGTTCAGAAGAATCTGCCTTCATGATTTTACCATATATGGATCAAAGATAAGCCAGGAATAAATTGGGAACTGCTTTATCTTCTCAGTAGAAAGAGAGAGCTGAGGCATTCTAACTGAAAAAGACCCTCTTGTGTAGCAGGGAAATGGGCCTTGGATAACAAAATCAATTAGCTCAGTCAGCTGAGTTAATTTAGATTTCAGAATTTGAAAAGTATTTCCAATTGTACATGTCTTGTTTAAACAAAGATAGCCACCTAAACAGCAGCATAATTCATGATGGATATTGACCAAAATGTTTTGGAATGACTGCCTGATTTCTGATACGGTAATGATGGGTGTTGAGTTTCCATCCACTGAGATTCAAATGTTATGAAAGCTTGCACATCTGAAACACTGCACAGAATAGTATTTAGCTCATTCAAATAGTCTTAGGCTTAACTAATTTTCCTATCTATGGTTGTGACCATATTATATAGAGTTATAAAAACATGGAAGCATACTGTAAACTGAATTCCTTCTTTAAAATAAAGAAATAATAAAAATGGTTAAGTCACACTTGATGATTCAGAAACAAAATATTCTCCCCAAATCTTGAGTTATTCCATATTCCTTCCAATATAAAAACTTAAGACTCACAAGCACAATGGTACAAAAAATTAGAGATGCCTAGCCTTAGCTGAAAATAGTGTACATGCTGGCTGAATTTAAGAATTTTTGCTTGTATTTACATAACTTTTTTTTTTAATTACAGATAAAACAGGAAAATTTGTATCGGCAAAATATTTTGACATGTGGGAAGGAGGTAGGGAAAAGAGTGTGATAGAGCTTTTGTTAGTGTTTCAGAATTAAGAAAGGACTTATATAATTATCCTGCTCTTTCAAATGACTATGATTGTATTATCGAAGGGGGTTAACTACAAACAAAACAGCTGTTGTCTTCCTAAAATATGCTCTGGTCAGATCTAATGGCAAATTTTGCCTGAAAAGCTGAATTCCTCCTGTTGATTGAGATAATTAATTGTCCTTTAATTGTCTTGCTGCATTTTCTCTTTTTAATTGTCTTTTTTTTCTCCATCATTTCAGTCTGGTAGGAATAGCACTTAGCCAGGTACCACATCCGGATACTTGACTCAGCAAAATTCCTTTTCCTGGCACATTTTGCTTTATTTTAGTTGTAAAATCATCATAGGAAATATGCTAGTCTGTCTCTTAACATCATGTACCTAGAACGATGATCTTCTTTAAGAATAGCTTTTAACATGCTTTTCAAACTATGGATGATAATGGTTTCCTTACCTATTACTAAAGAGAAACAGAATGCTCTGAGGCACTGAAAGCTGATTCTCTGACCACTTAAGAATGCTTGTGACCTTACATGCATGAATAGAAATCACACTGGGACTAATCACGGGGCTGCAATTTTATACACGGTACGTGGACTGTAATGTCTCCAGGGCTCCTGCTACTTTTTTTTTTGTGTGGAAAACTAGTGTCTTGTGTATGTTTAGCAATTGCAAAACCAATAAACAGCTTAGTGGTGCAAAGAGGCTGTGACTTAAGAAAAGTGGGTGTGTAGGGGTATGTGTAACCCAGCTGTGTAGTTAGCACGGTAGCAGGAATCTCACAAAATAGCAATGACTTCTCCTGGGCTATTCCATGCTTTGCTTGCATGTATAGTATTAGGTGAGGCAAACGTAAAAAACCATCTATATACTTACTCTGGGCAGAAGTGGCATTTGTAGACATTCGGAAGTATCTTTGTTCACTACTGGGAAGTGCGGATCAATCCAGGCTCTCCTAACCTTCAATGAGAGCTGGCAGCTTTCTGCACCTTTCAGGATTAGGCCCTCTGCCTGTAAACAGAAAAATTGCCTAATTAGGTCTCATATTGAATAGACGAGGCCAAAAACTGAAAACAAGCTGGAATGTGATATGTGCATAGTGAATAATCGGTTGTGAAATTGATTCAACAGACCACTCGGGAGAGATGGTGACTTTCATTAAAAACGCACCAGAAGGTTCCCTCGTTTTGATGGTGACTCATGATGACGGAAGCACCCGGTAAGCAAGCCACTCCTGGCAGGCTGTGAGGAACAGGGCCATGAATAGCTTGAAAATCACTATTGCATAAAGGGTAAAGGAATGGTAAATTTGACTCTGTAGTCAAGGTTATTCTATCATTTGCTGCCTAAAAGGTTCTGATTCCGTGTCCGTTCAGTGCTTGCCCATACCGTGTTGATGCTTCCAAAGACGGATAGATTGTGCTGTATTTGTTTAAAAGCAGCAGTTGTTCTCATAAAGGGCACTGCTGTTGCCTCTGGGTCACAACCTTCTGTTAAGACGGCATCAACACCTCCAACTACAATGTACCCAGCTCGCATTCCTGATTATCCAAGTGCTCTCAGATCTTGGGGGATTTTTCTTGAATTCATGATATGGTGATTATACAGAGGAAGTCTTAATCATTTGGTTGATAAACATTTGATGCCCTTGTTCTTATTTATGAAGGGTTGAGACATCAAACAGCTATTTTAGATACATTTACCTTTCTGCTGTGCTGTTACAAACAGGTTCTATTAACATAAGGAATGTAGAGAGGAGGAAGAAAAAGAATTTTGCTCTGTGAGTTTAATGGCATGCTACTAAGACAGCTCTCAGGAGTTTTTTAAAGTTCTTGTCGTTTATGCTGACTTATTGATGTAAAGCATGAATCAGCTGTGTTCTTTTTCAGCATTTTTCAGGTCCTGAATTTTTAACACTTTTTTTCACTAAAATTTCCTAGGCTGAAAAATTACGCCAAAAAATTAGTGGAAGAGCTGGGAAGTAAAGAAATAAAGAATATCAAGTTCAGGTCAAGCTGGGCTTTTATTGCTGCCAAAGGCTTCAAGCTGCCAGATAATATCCAAAAAGAAAAGGTCAGGTTCATTTTATTTTCTCTTTCTATCCGTCTGTATACCAGGTACAACCTTTGGGTGCAGGTTTCAAGCGCTAGCTGCAATAACCGTAGTCTCTGCTCAGTATCCCTCCGCAGTGCAAAGCAAGTTCTCTGCTTGCTTTGGGCCTGGGCCACACACAGTGCTGACTTCCGCCACGCCAGCCCTAAGTCATCTCTAGACAAATTTCAGAAGTGACCAGCGATTCTGGAGAGTCTCAGTTTTGAAGTGTCCAGCCTGACATGCTGTACAGAGGTTTACATTTTCTTTTGAAAGGACAAATTCCAAGGGCTTCCTAAAAATATTCTTTTTAATGTGAGAATTGGACTGTCTCAAACTGGCCTTGAAAATACAGCAGTGCCTGCACCACAAAACTTTTCAGAATAACTTGCCCTCAGGCTTCAGGAGGACTAAAGATGCCATTTTTATATCAGATTGCTGTTTGCATCTGTGACCTTGTTTTATTTGCTTTCCATAAGCCCAGTAGTGCTCCTCTGTATGACAGAGGCAGAGAGAAATGAGAAAACCCAACACAGAGGTCAGTTCCTTTGATGATACTGACTCCGTCTAAAGGCATGTGAAACTTCCATAGGTTGATTTGTTTTCCCAGAGTATTGTTGCAATCTTTTCATGCTTCTGTGGGAAAAAGGTATTCAATTTAGTGTATATTATGACAGCCATCTGGGAAATAAATAAAGCACTTTGTGTGGGAGAGAAACTGGTGGAATCTTCAGCCGTTATGTCAAGCAAGATGTGTATCGTGCTACTTAGCTTCACAGTCCTACCCCTTAACCCCTTCTGTTGTATGGGGTCTGATGAACTAGATTATAGATGTAGAACCAAATATTGATTTTTTTTAATTTTTTTTAACAGATAAACCACTCTGACCTGAAGAACAACAGATACAGTGGCTGGCCAGCTGAAATCCAAATAGAAGGCTGTATCCCAAGAAACCTGATCTAAACAAATGCATACCTCATTAATAAAGATGATTCTATATTTTTATACCTATGACTCTAGTAAATTGCCTCCAGAACCCACTAAGCATCTGAACACTAACTAAACATAAATCAGAGGCACAGTTTTTACTCTTTTTGTCTCTGATGTTTTACTCTAATCTGAAAACAAATAGGTATTTTGATGACAAGTGGAAATAAAATACTCTGGTTTGGAATTACAGTGTTCAGGATGTCAGGCATAAAATACCAGGATTTTTGACAGTGAGTGTACATTGTAATTTGTAATTTTAAGGGTTTAGGTTTGTTTGTAATACGTGTTCTTTCAGTTAACTTTAAAGATGCAAATAGAAAGTGTAAATTGTAGTATAAAATCACAAGGGGTATCAGGTTTGCATGGCAAGGTTTTGGTAGTCAGGGGGCTACAGGGGTGGCTTCTGTGAGAAGCTGCTGGAAGCCTACCCTGTGTCCAATACAGCCAATGCCAGCCAGCTCCAAGATGGACCCACTGCTGGCCAAGGCCGAGCCCATCAGCAATAGTCATAGCACCTCTGGGGTAACATATTAAAGAAGGAAAAAAAAATACAGAAGAGAGTAGATTTTGCAGACAGACAGAAAGTGAGCAAGATGTGAGAGAGAGAACTCTGGAGACACCAAGGTAGTGGAGAAGGAGGTTGCTTCAGGAGCCGGAGCAGAGCATGTGCCTAGTGGTGAGAGGACAGGCTGTGCCCCTGAAGCCATGGAGGGTCATGGGCAGGGAGAGGAGAGACCCACCTGCAGCCTAGGGACGACCCCACACTGGAGGAGGGGGATGCCTGAAGGAGGCTGTGACCCCATGGAAGACCACGCTGGAGCAGGCTCCTGGAAAGACCTGTGGATCTGTGCAGAGAGGAGCCCAGGCTGGAGCAGGTTTGCTCGCAGGACTTGTGACCCCGGTGGAACCCAGTCTGGAGCAGGCTGCTCCTGAAGGACTGCACCCCATGGAAGGGACCCACACCAGAGCAGTTTGTGAAGAACAGCAGCCCTTGGGAAGGACTCATGTAGGGGGAAGTTGGTGGAGGACTGTCTCCCATGGGAGGGACCCCAGTCTGGAGCAGGGGCAGAGTGTGAGGAGTCCTCCCCCTGAAGACAGACAAAGTATGATGGACTGACCACAGCCCCATTCCCTGTCCCCCTGCACTGCTCAAGGAGGAGGAGGTAGAGAAATGGGGAGCAAAGCTGAGCCTGGAAAGAAAGGAGGAGTGGGGGGAAAGCATTTTAAAGATTTGCTTTTAGTTCTCTTTTACTCTGATTTGATTGTTGTTAAATTAAATTAATTTTCCCTGAGTTTAATCTGTTTTGCCCGTGACCAAAACTGGTGAGTGATCTGCCCCGTCCTTGTCTCGACCCACAAGCTTTTCGTTGTATTTTCTTTCCCCTGCCCAGCTGGTGAGGGGAGTGATAGAGTGGCTTGGTGACCTCCAGCCAAGGTCACCCTACCACACTAGTTGTACTCACTGCTTTCTTCCCAGCAGCCTTCTCTTATCGTGTCCTCCACCACTGCCTGAAGCTACCAGTTTGCAAACGGCTCCCTAGCTCAGGGACACTGCCAAAGAAAGCAGTTAAATTAGTTTGACTCAATTTGACTTTGGCAGACTCACAATGGTTGCTCCTTATCACCTTGCTACTGAAGAGGTGGTTGCAAATTGAGTTCTTAAATAGCTGTTTTAGTATTTTTCCGCATCTAAGTCCTTCTTCTTTTGTTCTTTTTGCTTGTTTGTCCTACAAGTTGTGTATGTCAGGGGCCTTGTTTTGGTATTTTTCACATCTCATAGTAAATGCATGTGAACTGTTGTAACACATACTTGGCCTCATTCTTGAATTTGGATGGAAGACCCAAGGTTTACTTCGCAGTTAAGAAAACTTATCTGCATTTGCTGCTGTTCCTTGCACGTGTGTTGTAGCAAGACAGGGGAGCCAGCAGGTGTCAGTCTTCTGCGTGAGCCTGTCGTGGGACACAGCTCCTGTGAAGTCACTTTGGGAGGCTTGAAGCAGTAGGTTCCAGGTGCCTTGTATGTGCTTCCCAGGGGTGTCATAGCATTATTGTTATGGTGTTACAGGTGTGTTTTATATACACCTATATATAGATGTTGTAGCTAAATCAAACCTTTCCCGTGTTTTGGATAAAGTGACCTAACCAATTCTACTTCAGCATTCCTGTCATCCAGATCAATGTCAAGATGCATGTCTTGTGTATATTCATTTTCTTAAGTGTACAGCTTCATGTCACCAGTAATTTATTCAGGCAGTTCTCATGTTACTGGCAGAACATTTATTCCTTTACATTGCAATCACCCTTTGTTACATGCCTGAATTATAAAAGTAACATAATTACAGTACTAAGAATTGGGAATCCTCAGAGTTCCAAGCTCTGAGACACCCCTCAAACTCTGTGCAGTCTGACAGTCATTGCCTTCTACTCCAGGCCACAATTAATCTCACATCAATCACCATTATATTTTACATCAGTTTCTGTTTAGCAGTTACCGTGAAGCGTGCAAGTGCTCCAAGCACTCCGTTCTTAACAACTGGTCAACAGTATAAGGTGCATACCCATCATCTGAATCACAGATCAAACCACTGAGAACCTCTCACATCACAAGTCCCTGCAAAATGTTCTTCAACTCCATCGTATTTTCACTTTTTCAGGGATGTAGTTGAGTCGTCTAGACAAGCGCGTTAATGATCTGCAGTGCTGAGTGGCTGTCATCAGCTTTGTTTTGCTTTGCCTATGCCACAGTGTTTAAATACGGTAGCCAGAGGAGCGTCAAGTTCTTTGATAACTCTCTGATCTCAGGAAATCATGGAAAAGTGGTCACTTGGACAGAAAAGGTGCCACTTTTTCAATCACTTTTCAGAATCAAAGCAATCTTACAGCGGGTTGGTTTCAAAGTGGGGCTTCGACTTTGCACACACAGCTTGAGTTCTTTTAAGCTTACAGCCTTCTAAGGAGGAGTTAAAAGCCTTTTCTGAACTGTAATTCTGAAAAATTAATCTGACCATATGTGAAATATCTTCGGATTTTAATTACAAAAATCAAAAGACCAGGAAATTAAACATTTACTTTTATTCAGAGGCGAGGCCATAGGGTGTAGGATCCCTTATGCTGATGCCCTTCCTTACCTTCTCTGTACACCACAGGCAGCCTCGAGCGGTGGAGGTCAACGCTGTCGATGTCAGGCGACCGTCAACCACAAGCAGCGGGTAGGAAGCAATCTGCCACGCTCTCCTTGGACCAGGTAGGTGCTATGGTCTTCCCTGTGCCTTGTGAAATACTTCTGGGTGGTTAGCACAGCATGCGGGATCACCGCCACGAAATAAGGTTAAGAACTGCAGAGCGGTTAAACAACTTCTAACCCTAATAGGCCAATCCAATGGACAAACATGAGCTTTAGGCAGGTGCCTGGCTCAGGGCTTGGGTTTGTGTATTGAAAAGCAAAATGGCACATCAGGTGGCAGCAGTCTCTTTCCAGATCCTCTGCATCTGTCTGCAGAAGTACCTGACCTCTGTGCGGTTACCTGTCCTGGACAGACATGGGTGGAGGGCACCCTGCCTTTCACTGGCAGCTGGGAGAGAAGCTGGCAGCTCTGTCTCTAACATGCCAGACCTTCCTTTCCTTCACTTGGCCAGTAGCAGGATCCTGTTTCAAATATCCCCACCAGCACCAGACCACCGGTGGGCAGCCCTCACAAGAAGTGCTCAAGCAGGTCCCTCGTATCTGTTAACTATTTAGGTAGAGGATTTAGAAGCAATTCAAAAAAGTACTTACCGGTCACACTTTTCCCTCCAGTGTGAACGTCACGTGACAAATCCCATAAAGAACAAAGTACGTGGACAGAAGTCCTTTTTTATCTCCCCATTTTAGGATCTTGAAAATCATTTCAAGGTCTTGACATGTCTCTTAAAAATCCCTGGCACTCCAATTTGATGGCAGTGGTAGGAAATACTGATCAAATAATAGGTAACATCTTCAGTTTCTCAGTGGTAACTGTTTCTTTAGGCTCTTTGTGTAGTGTTACCTACCCCCAAGGTGGGAAGTTTGCACTATATTTAAAAGAAAAATACAAGAAAGGCAAAGTTCTTCAGTGAAAGATGCCTTTTTGCAGACTGGCTGTGCTTAAAGCAAAACTCCCACTGACCGCAGTCCACTCACTCTGAAGAGCAAAGAGACGCTGATTCTTTTACTTACACATAATGCCTGGTGGGAAGTAATACATGAGCGTCATATCTCTGATCTCTTCTTAGCTGCAAGTGAAATGCTGAACTATGACTAGAATTCAGACGATTAAGATGGGTGGTTTTAATAATGCTTGAGTGACAGCAATTCTTCTTTTCCTGGAACTCTGAAATTTTGATTTTAATTTTCTGCTGGGTTTTTGTGGGTGGTTTTGGGGTTTGTTTTTGGTTGGTTTTTGGGGCTTTTTTGTGCTTTTGGTTTTGTTTTGGTGTTTTGGTTTTTTTTTTTTTTTTGGAGTGTGGGGTTTGGGGGGCTTTTTGGGGGGTTTTGGGTGGGTTTTTTGTTTGTTTTTTCCAGGAGAGATTTTCAGCAACACAGAAAACATAGATTCTCCCCCTTCAAATACAAGCTTTACATTAGCAGCTCTGACATGACTTTTTCCCCCTTCCAAGGACAAGAACATAGAGATAAATGTTTTAGGCTGGCCCAGTCTCCATTGCAGGTCTCATTAAAAATTAAAAAATACTTTTTCTGAAGTTATATTTCATCCAAAAGCAATATGCATTTCAACCTTGTACTTCTGCTATAAATCTTATGTGGTTATGCTTTATATAGCTGCCTTCTATCTCCTGGACATTTCCTACCAGAATTCTTGGGAATTAGACTGATCCTCTACCCTTTCCCCCAGACCAAGACGTCTGTGACAACCTGGACTTGGAAAAGAGGAATGAGTTCTTGAAGTAAGACTTCCCAAAGGGTTATTAGGGCTTTGAGATCACACCTGACGATA